ATACAAAGCAGCAGATGGGAAGATTTCAACAGTTTGTCATAATGTTCAAGTCCATCTCCTTCCTTTTCCCAAACCCTGTCCCATCACAGGCTGGCACAGAATTTCAGAAGGTAGTTTCAAATCGAATAGACTGCTTTACCTTGCTTACTAGTCACACATATTACACCAACTATGATGTAGGGATTTTTGGTTGCATAACAAAATGGAGTCAATGACAAAGGGTAAGAGAGTAGGTAGCAAAGAATTAACAGAGGATAGAAAACAGGTGGAAAGGGAGTTAAAGTTTTTCTCTTATGGAAGCTTCCATTTTTTTGCTGCTTGCCTAGTGGCAGAACAGGGTATAAATTATATGGAGTGACTACCACGAGGTAGGACTAGAAAATAAATCAGTTCAATGTAGCACAACATCTGGGGAATGTCTGCTAAGTGTTAGCATGACAGTGGTTAAGAGTTCATCCTCTTCATTTAGAGCTATACTACCTGAGTTCAAATCCCAGCTTTATCGCCTAATGGCTGTGTGTTCTTGAGCGAAGTACTTACCCTCTCTGTGCCTTATTTTCCTCACAGGTAAAGCAGGCAGTAGTATATACCACCTGAGGTTGTTGTGAAGCTTAACAAGAATCGTGAAAAAAGTGTTTTCTAAGCCATGGTGTGGAGACAAATATTGTGCATGACACAGGATGCAAAGACGAGCTGACAGGCTAGTGGAAAGATAGATGCACAGATAAATCATTTTAACACAGTGAGTTTTAAAACTTCCAGATGAAGGAGGTCTTTTCAGGCACTCCTTCACTTGAGCTAGGGTTGCTGAAGGTAGTCATGAGTTCTGAAATCAAGGTCCTCAGGCTTAAAGCCACAAATTGCATGTCCTTTGTCATCAACTCTAGGACATTGATGAGACTCCCTTATAGAGCTGTGGTAGGAGCAACGTCAAGGTGGTATATACCAGAGATTAACAGAAGTGTCATATGACTATGATGTGAAAAGTGCCAATTGTGATTTTTATACTAGAGTAAGCGAGACAAGGGAAGTCACCCAGTGTCTTAACACCTGTCACACACCAAGCACTTTTGAAACAGTTTACTTCTCTTAGCCCACTGCATCCTCCAATAAGCCTGCGCTGTACATACAATTGTCCTCATTTTACAGATCAGAAAATTGAGCCTCAGAGAAGTAAAATAATTCGCCCCAGGTCACCCAGCTGCTATGTGGTAGAGCAAGAGAGCAAAAGATCTGCCCCAAACAACAACAAAAAAGTCTTCACAGAAGTTTTTAAAAGTCCTAAGAAGAAATAATTTATCAATTCACGGAAACACCCTTCCTGTAGTGTATTTTAAAACAAAACAAAAGCAGGAGCCCTGAACTCTGACATGTGTTAGATTTTGTCCTATCATGGATTACACTCATTGAGTTATTCTGGATGCTGAAAGCCTTTTCAGGCAGCGGGACTCTCATAATAGGTTTGTGAGGGAGCTATTCACTCCTTGCTTCTCAGACTAAAGTCAGAAAGGCTAAGTTTACTACTTTAAATCGTTTCCCACTGGATAGAACAGAAAGAAAACTGAAGAAGCGAGGCAGTTGGACAGCTTTTCCTTATTTTGCTTACTCTTACCAATAGGAGAGGGTGCCAGTGATAATAGGAACACTGGCTTGAGATCAGCTTCAGCATTGCCCAAGAAGGCACAAGAAGCCTTGGCCAGTGTGACTTGGTTGGAGAGCCATCCTGTAATTAAAGGGCTGCAGGTTCAATTCCTGGTCAGGGCATATACCTAGGTGGCCGGTTCCATCACCAATGCAGTTGTGTGCAATTCCTGGCCTTGGCGCATATGGGCGGCAACCAATCTATGCTTTACTCTCTTACATCAATGTTCCTTACTTTCCATTCCTCTCTCCCTTCCTTTCTCTCTAAAAAGCAATGAAAAAATGTCCTTTGGTTAAGATTCTTTTTTAAAAAAGGAGAAGAAGAATAAGAAGGTACAAGAAGTACCAGTTCTTCCAGACATCCACAGGGATGCCAGAAATGGTCCAGGCATCTCTTCCTCTCCCACATCCACCAGGGGGCGCACTAAAATCTCATATTTCTTCTCTGTGAGGACTGCTCGAGTCCGTTTCTTAACTGCTCTGAGCCTCAGCACCCTGGTCAGAGTGGAGAGTTAGAAGGACTAAATGTAGCAATAGCTGTAAAGCTCCTGACTCATGATGTGGCCCAATAGGTAATAGTTTCTCCCTTATCACTCACCCAAATAAATACTGAAACAAAAATAAATTCATCTGGGAAGACCCAGCTGGCTCCGCAGGTCACACTTCTTCTGGGTTCACAGCGTTTCTCCTTGTGACTCATGGCCGTTGTTTCTGGAAAAAAAGAATTGTGGATCTCCACCTTCTCCCAATTGCTGACCTCATGTCCACTGTTCATGCTCCACATCAGAATGTACCACAGCCTCACAATTGCAGAAGCTGCTTTGCAACTTTGGGGCAGAAGGGTGACCAGGGATTCCAGCTATGAAACTTGGTGGCCCATACATACCAGTTCATCGTTTCAGGCTCACCAATGAATGGAGCAGACGTCAGAGTAGAGGGCCCGCTAGTCTGGGAGTTAGGAGCCCTGGATTCCACTCTCACCTCCTCCATCCATCCGCTGAGTGGCCTTAAGCAAATCTCTTCATCTCCCTGGGGCTTAGTTTCCCCATTGATAAAAGGAAATTGAAATCATTGTTAATCTGTAGAATCCCTTCCTGTTCTGTGATGACGTTCCTTTCCATCAGGGCCAAGTGTAATCCAGGGGTAATGGATGACATTCACTTTTTGCAAACTGTATATTGCTATTAAAAAAGAAATACCAAGCTACTTATATTGTTTTCAGTTGCTTCAGTTGCTACCAGCCCAGCTGAATTAATACTTGTTTTTCCATTGGCTCACTAAATTTTTTGTTCCGAGGACCCGTTGGACAAGTTCGGCCAGTTTTTTAATTTGGTTGAGACCAATTGTCTGAAAGAGGTTAACCTTTATCCCAAAACTTGAGCTTGACATTTTATACAAGCAGAACTCACGGGATACCATATTTATCTAAGCACCTCAACCGCACCCTCACCTTCTCACTGATATTTTCAACTCTGGGAACCATCACTGACCTTTGAGATCCACACCTCTATTTACTAGATCACTTGATCAGCTAGATTTTCACAGCAGTCACCAGGCAAGTTCCTTGGATCCAAGATGACTTATCATTTCCCCCTTCTCTCAGCACTTTACCAGAGGAATGAGAAAGACTGCTGAAGGGTGTTTTTTCCTATTAGGGCCCTGTTTGCTTATTTGTCAGAGTGAGACTGAAGCCTCTTGTGTTCATGGCAAGAACGGAGAGCTTGGTGAACTTGGTTAACTATGAGGGGTGCCTGAGGGTGGGGGTGCATAGGCTGGGGGTGGGATAATAGTCCTATGTCCGGACTGTCCGAGGAAATGGATAGGGAAGGAGAGAGCGAGAGGCAGCTGAGGACACAGTCTTCCCTAAACAGCTTTTGCTTTAATTTACCCTACTTTTTACTCTTACGACAAAGGGCATGTTTATTAATACATTTAGAACACCACAGTTTCAAAAGCATTCACTTATTTTAGTTCACACAACAGGTCTATGAGAACAGCTGTGATGGACATTTGGAATGAGGGGCATTTTCTTGGTTCTTGCCGATACACAAAGATGTCTTCTAGGGAAAGGCTGACTGTGCACCCAAAAGAACTCTCGAGAATATAGTATTTACCTGGTGTATTAACCATGGTTTAAGACCCAGTCTTGGGCCTTGTGGATCCAGAGAGGCATCTAGGGCAGAACCTGAATTAATTAATCTCTTCGAGGCTAAACTATAATAAAAAGCTGGATGTTCATGATTCATTTATTGTGAAAAATACAGCTGTTGGGCAAACCAGAAGGCTTGAGTCAGCAGACAGGAACATGCTTTCTCAGTATGCTGATTATTTCAGAAGCCAAATTAAAATCAGAAGGGCAATTTATTCACTTAAAGTGAAAAACACAAATTTTCAGTGAACCGGATGTTCTCGTTAGCCCAGCCTCTCCTGACCAATGAAATACATAGGAAGCCAAATTATAGATGATTGCTTAGGGAGTAGGGAATCGGAGAAAGGTGTATGTGTCAATCTTAGGGTGTGTCTCTTCTTCAGCTTGAGGCCATCCCACACACCTCATGGAAGGAATGGCCTTGCCAAGATACCTGCAATGCTTAAATCTGGTGAGCCAGGCCTTCCTCTCTCTGCGGTAGGCAGGGACCAGCGCGGTAATGCTGACCTTGGCAGCTGTCCGTTTTCATTGTTTCTGTTTCCCATGGTCCTTATTCAGGCAGAGTTACAATACAGATTCGTTTTCTGCTTACTTTCTGGGATTCTTCCCAAATGATCTCAACTGGAGCTTTTGCAGTTGCAACAACTGATTAGGCGCACGTTTGTTTCCTAGCACAGATGGCTAAGCCAGTTCATTAAGTATGGACTTTACTAGTTTAGTTCTTGAAAATGTTGTTTTTGATTTCATGAGCAGCATTGCACTTTCTATTTAAAAAGTTATACTTCTGTGTGTGGAGGGCTATGTCACACATTTCGAAATGGGAATTCAGAGGGGCTGAGTGCCTTGCCCTGGGTCACACAGCAGTGACTGATAGAGCTAGAACTCAAACCCAGATCTTCGGAGTTCAAATCCTATCCTTGTTCTATTGAATGCAATTTGAGTTTTCCACTACTAGGGAGTTTCACTTTAAAGCAAGAAAGGAAAGTCCATGTGTTTCTAAGAATTAGCTGTAAAAAATGTTAAGTGATATTTTTCTGTAGCTGGTGGTGGTGGGCAGAAGCATTAAGTGTACAGTAGGGAAGGTGAGAAGGTGTAAATAGAAACGTCACTCGGATGTAGCCACCTGCTGCAGGGGCCCCTGAAGTCCAGGCATAGAGTGTCCAGCAACCTTGGTTGAGTGGACACCGTAAGTGGATGTGTTTTGTTGCAGAATCTGAGTATATCAGAGGCAAGAGGGAAGATCCTCCACTATCAGGTGACTTTGCTGGATATGGCTGGGGAGAAACCCACACTTCAGAACACCACAGAACATACCTCCTGGACCTGGGTCATCCCCAGGACTGAGAACTGGACTGCGGCCGTGTCTGCAGCTAACTCAAAAGGCAGTTCCCTGCCCACTCGTATTAACATAACAGACCTGTGTGGGTCAGGTAAGTACCAATTTATCTTTAATATTGCCTGTGGGAAACTGTCTTACTCATCTATTATCTTCCACAGGCTCAGCTCAGGGCCTGGCATGAGTAGTGCTTAAATTTAGATTCGAGAGTCAACAGCATTCAGAGGCTGTCTCTTCCACTCAAACTATGAGTGGCCATGAACAAGTGAACTAACACACCTCTGAGCTTCACCTTCCCCCTCCTTAAAGTAAGGATTACATCATCTACTCTGCAGGTCACTGTAAGATTAAATACAGGAACTAATACATAGTAGGCACTTAGTAAATGTTAGTTAAGCAAATACTAATTACATTGAATTGAACACTAATATCTGCCTAATTACTCCAGAAGCAAGAATAATATGTGCTGTCAAATTCTAGAAGAAAACATTTTACACTTATAGTGAAAATATTTTAAAACCAATAGTATTAAAATTATATTCTGGCTGTAATGAAACTATAGTAAAATTTTTCTCTACTATAACTGTTTTTTCCACAAATTTAGGTAAGTATCCAATTATCCACAGTGAAAACTTCCCAACTAGCTACGTACATTTTATGGTTGCATTCTCTGAAAACTAACTTCTCTGGATAAAAACCTCTAATTAGTGAAGAAAATAGATATTAGTGCTATACATAAGACCTGTGCTTATAAAAAGGCCCAAGTTTTTCCAAAATTGCCCCATAGAATAAAACTGTAATTAAATCCTTCCTTAAAACTCAGTGTAACAATTTTATCCACATGTGAGTCTGGCAATCATTGTGAAGAAGGTTCTATTAGAACATGATTACTTTATATATATCCTTAAATCTTGGTTATATGTCATTTCAGTCACATATCTGTAAACATGGAGATAATAGAGTAATAAAATAACTAGAGGAGATACAAGTAAATATTGATATAACCTTGGGTTGGTGTATGAGTTAGGAATTGCTCTTAGGAATAAGGGTTGCTCTTATCAGAGGCCTGACTATGGAGATTTGTTTATTCTCACACATTGAAGAAGTCAGAGGTAGACTGTCTAGAGCTGGTGTGCCAGCTTTGTGACATCATCAGGACTCCAGGCTCCTTTCTGTTCCTTCGGCCAAGTTGGCTCTTATCCTCAAGGTAAAAATGGTCCAGAATGGTGGCCAGAGCTCTAGCTGTTTCCGTCTAGGCAGCAGAATAGAAGGAAGAGAGAAAGGGTCGCTCTCCTCACTGGTGAGGAGCTTCATTCACCCCAGGTCACACAACACGCTTTGCAGTCTTTGACTGAATTGGTCACCTGGCCGCACCAGCTGCAAAGGAGGCTCGGAAATATATTTCAGCAGGGCTGCCTTGCTGAAGAAGAGGAAGAGAGGGTAACTGGTAGGCAACCGGTGATCTCTGTTCGCATGGAACAGGCGCCTAAGGCAGAAGAGCCTGAAGGAAAAATGGATTAACTATGTGGGGAAACACTTCAACTTTCTAAATAGTGAAATAAAAAACTTTTCTAAAACACCAAAAATCATACTTCAGAGAGTAACATAAAAACATGTTCCCACTTTCAGATCTAAGGAACGTTAACATTTTGACAGATTTTTCTTTATTTTTTTAAAATGAAAAAATTATTTTTTATTGTAGTTTATATTTAGTATTATTTTGTATTAGTTTCAGGTGCCCAGGTAGCAATTTAAGAAAAGTATATATCACATTTTGGGCAAAAAGAGGATGATCTATATCTATCTTTTTAATATGAGAGATCAGGGTATATGAACAGGCAATTCAACTAGTAAATATAAAAAGAACAGTAAGATTGGAAAATACCTGCAGCCTAACTGGCAATCAATGAGAAGTAAATTTGGAAAGAGCATGAGAAACCAAATCAGCCTGAGGAAGAGTAAGCAGAGTTGGTATATCCCACATTGGTGAGAACATGGGGAAAAGTGCCCTTGTACCTGCTAGTAGGTCTGTAAGCTCGTTCGACTTTCTCAAGAACAATTTGGCCATATGTAACAAACTTTAAATATAAACATATTTTTGACCAAGAAATTTAAGCATTAGGACTGTATCCTCAGCGGATAATAAGTGCTTTAAAATATAGGCAAAAAGATGTTTATTAAAAAATATATAGTGAAACAGCACAAAGAACCTAAATGTTAAATAATAGAAAATGAACTGATTTAACACATCCTGACTCTCACCAGCATTCATGCCGTACTGGCACTAAAGTGATGCTGTAGCTACATTTGTATTGTCATGGAAAGCTGCACATGAGTAACAGGGCGGGCATTCAACAGTGTATGTGGTACGATGCCATTTAAAATATTGATTTACATGAGTATACATGTTTTGCATGTTAAAAACAATTTAGTGGAATATATGTGGACATGTTAACAGAGGTCATCACTGAATCAGGGGATTAGAGGTGACTTTCCTTCCCTTTTGCTTGTTATATTTTTAAAATTCTTCTTCAGTGGGTAAGTGCTACATTTGTAATTTTTAAAGTGAATTCTGTGGGGGAAATTGAACTCATATCACTGTTTAGTGTCCTGATGTTGGTAAAATGCAGTATGTCAGAACACCTTACTTCTTCAAACCTCACTGCAGGTGAGTCTTGGAGATATAAGCCTCACGAATTTTCTGGACCCATTCCAGGCTCTTTATTTAGATTTGAGAACAATCTCTCAAAATGACACAGTCATCGTTTCAGAGTTGACCTCTACTTTATTCATTCAGTAGTCCGTTATTGAACATATACTGTGGAAGTCAACTGGAATCCAGCAGTAGGTTAAAAAAGACTGTTGAGATCCTCCAGTTGTATTTAGTCAGGTGGGATAGCAGACATATAAAAAAGTAAGCTGTAGTACAGTATAATAAGGATAAGGTTAGAGGTATGCACAGGTAGCTCTACAAAGTATGGCCTTGGAGAGGAGGCAACAGGTGAACAGGGTGTGGAGAGACAAGGTATTAGCCAGGTGAGGCAGTGCAGGTGTGCAGGCATGAGGGATTTTTTTAAAGTGGAATCTAAGTGGATCAGGGGTAGGAAGGAGTTGAAGATAAAGGGAAGAGAAGGAATAATTGGTTGAATGAAGTCCCTGGGGAGCTGGGAGATGATGGGATCCAGTGACAAAAAGAGTTAAAGGAACACTTCTTTCTCTAAGAATGGACAGATGTTGAGTAAGGATGAGGCTCATTACCGATGAACATGTAGAGCAGGTAAGGTAGGACACTGAATCAGTTCTGTACAACTGAGCTGTCACTAAGAGGGTCCTGGCCCTGGAAATCTTGGATTCTCCAGGATCTTTTGCATCTCCTAAGATCACACCTGACCCATCCCATACAAGCTGTTGTGCACCTCGGGGTGACCTGTGGAGGACCAATGGACAAATCACATAATCCCATCCTGCGTGCCTCTTCTCTCACACACATTCTGAGTGACCCGTAGAAATAGTGTGCCGTAATTTTGTGTCTCCCTCTCTTTCAGTATATGTTCACACTACTCACATAGATAACTTTCAGGAGGAGAAAAATAATGCTGCAACAGGAAGAATTATGTTAATTTTGAGAAAATTAGGGACAACTTTATTATAAAAGGTGCCTGTCACAGCATGACATATCAAGAAGCACAAGAATGATTTTGTTGATTTGATGAAAATTGAATATGTTCCAAACCCACAGCCAACAATTAAAACCCATTTCACATTTCAGACCAGTCCCTGTGCTCAAGAATTCTTGAAACTAGAAGAAGAATCAGAAGCCAGTAGAGTATTACCAGGCCCACACAGATGTCAGACACTTAGGCCCCAGGAGGTCAAGTATCTTAGCCAACATCATACATTCAATTAGTCACAGAGCTGGACAGAAAAACCAGGCCACCTGTCTCTGAGGTGGGCACTTTTCCAAATATCTGTGAATTTTATAACTCTATTCCAAAGCTCCCAGTGAAAATGGAGATGGGAAGTTGAATGATTGAGGGGAAAGAAATAGTTTTGAAAGGTCACAGAGGGAAGGTTAGTCGTGAGCAGAGAAGGGGAGAGAACAAGCCCTGGGAGACATGTTGGGGGAGGAGATGCAGGCTGGCTCCTGACGAGACAGAAAGTCCAAGGCCTGAAACAAAGAGCTCAGCCAGCGAGTTAGACAGCAGAAAGGACTCGAGAAGACTGAAGGAGGGAGTGGGAGATGTGATAAGAAACTCTTCCAAAAGGCATCGAAAACAGAAAAGAAGTTGAAAACAGACGAGGAGACTTAAAACATTGAAAGAATTGAAAGAGAAGTAATAATGACCGCCTAAAAGGAGAAAGAAAAAAGAGTAAATGAAAAGGAAGAAATGCTTGAAAATATCCAGAATCTTACAGAATGCCAGTACTGTGTGTGCGACAGGCAGGGGGTATCTAGAAAATCTCTGAACCTTCTGCTCATTTTGCTATAAACTTAAAACTTCTCTAAAAAACAGTCTGTACTTTTAAAGTCACTACAAATCGCAGTACAGGATGGTTCAGCAGGGTTGACCCCATGAATATAAAGATGGAACAATTTGGAGAAATGTAACACTGTGATTCATCACATTAATACTGAGAGATAAAAGGGTATGTTCTCAACAGACATAGAAAATTAGTTAAAAGTCGTTTTTAGTAAGTGATATATTACTTTTAAGACCTATATAGAAACTATGAATAAAAGAAAACTTTTTTTAGTTTTTTAAGACTTTCTACCAAAAATATGCAGCAAATGTTATTTTATTGTAATAAAGATATATGGGCACATTCTCTGCAAAATTAGTAACAAAATTTTAAAAAGGAAATAAGAGATTTAATTGAAAGACTGGAAGAAAGATATTTTAAGTATTAAACTAATAAGATTGTGATATAGAAAATTCAACAAGGGCAAGAGATGAATTATTAGAACTACTTAGAGAATTTAGCAGGTTTGCCAGAAATAAGAATAACACACACAAATTAATAGTAGAAAAAGTAGAAAATAAGTTCCAACCAGTGTAGCATAGTCGGCTGAGCGTCTTGCCACAAAGTGGAAGTTCCCTGATTCAATTCCTGGTCAGGGCACATGCCTGGGCTGCCCCACCTGGAGAGTGAGAGAGGCAATCGCACTCTCCCTTGATCACATTATCACTCTTGATGTTTCTCTCTCACATTGATGTTTCTCTCCCTCCTTTTCTCCCTTCCTTCCCCTCTCTCTAAAAATATAAGTAAATAAGTTCTTTTTAAAAAGTAGAAGATGCCACTTATAAAGCAAACTAAAAGTATAACATGTCTAAGAATTAATCTAACAAAAATGCATGAAAATTTTAAGGAGAAATTTTAAAAACTCCCTTAGAAAATATAAAAGGGGAACTCAATAATTTCAATGAAACAGCATATTTATGAATGGAACAATTTTGCATTGTAACAGCATCGATTTTTCCTGAATTAAACAATATATTTAACTTAAATCCAGTAAAAAAAAAAACAGCTAGAATTTGGGGGGACTCAGATAAACTAATTCTAAAAGCTGCATGGAAGAATAAGGTTAAATGAATAACCAAGAACATTTTGAAAAAAAGGAGGACAAAATGAGAAGGGTAGTTTACCAACCAAATACTCAGACATCACAAAACCTGTAATATAAACCACATGTTCTGGTGAGGAAGCTGACCTGACAGAGACCCAACAATATATAGAACTTGGTGTATGTTAGGAATGGTATCAGATTTGAAAAAATTGGCTCACAGTATGGAAAAAATAATAAAATTGATTCCCTTAAAAATAAAAACAACCTTTCAGCTAGATTTGGAAAAAAACTTGAATGTGAAAGGTGAAACCAAAAGTCAATAGGAGAAAATGTGGTTGAGTATCTTGGTGACCCTGGAATGGAAGGATTTCATAAACAAGAGTCAAAATGCTCAAACCATAGGTATGCATCAAAGTATTTATGTGCAGCAAACACATCATAAAGTTGAAAGACTGGCACAAGGTATTTTTAGAGTTGAAGACTGATGGATGATTAAGATCTAGAATATAAAAGCTATTTCTCCCTGATTAAGATCTAGAGTATAAAAGCTGTTTCTGCAAATCAGAGAGAAGACAGGAAACCCAGAAAAAATTAGCAAAGTATATGAATAGGCCGTTCACATAAGAGGAAAAAGTCAGATGATTAGTAATGCATGAAGAGAAGTCAATCCGACAAGAAATCGGGAAACGAAAATAAAACCACCATTAAGTACCACTTCGCATGGACCAGATTGGCAAAAATTAGAAAGTCAGAAAATACCAGTGTTGGGAGGAAAATGAAATCTCTCAAAGCTTTTCTTGTTGGAGTGCAACTGATAGGCTATTTTAGCGATCCGCTTGGCCGTATTTAGTGAGCCATGTGATTCCAGAGACACTCCCACACAGGCACATGTGAGGACATGTTTGTGTTTATGTTGATGTAAGAAGGTCCAAACCCATAGATAATTTTTATGAGTTTGAGAGAAAATGATGACGTATGCTGGGCATAAAGATCTCAAATGCTCTGGTGAATAACAGCTTTGCAGTCTCTTTTATCATTTGAAATGAAAGAGAGGACATAAGGGAGATCACATGAAGGTGGGAGACAGCAAAGCAGGGGTTGGATTAGAAGACTATGATTTCTTAAGGGTGGTTATGCATTACTGCTGGGTCTTACTTCTGGCCCCTCAAGGGTATGTTAATCTAGATGCATAAGAACAACGGACAGGGCTTGCTTAAAAAACTTTCCCTTAAGAAGTAGAGGTCTTGGGCATGAGTGCCCGCCATGACCTGACCAGTTAGGAATTTATGTTAAATTACAGCACCCGTTGTTTGTCTTCATTAGTAAAGAGCTGGAGGGAACCTCCTGCTTGTCACTTGGAGACTGGACAAAGAAAGGGTTGAGGCAGCAGTCTAACAGACTAAGCTAAATTTACAGATAGGAGCAGCAGGATGGATACATCCCAGATACATGTTGAGTGAATAAAAAGAGTTAGAAAAAGCATTAGATCTGCTCTCAATACAGTTTACGAAATAACAACTCACAAGCACAAAGCAACACTTATTTTCAAGGATACATATATGTCTAAACAAACATATGAGGTGGATTGGGAGGATGCATGTTACATTAACCAGAGCCAGTACCATTGGAAATGGAAAGTGAAATGGAAGATGAAGGGAAATTAATTCTACAGACACCCCTGCACAGGGTCCTTCTCCAAGGTGATAATGCCAGTTCTGCCAGACCTGAGAAGTAGGATGAACTTAAACCTGTGAACTTGAAGAGCTTCAAGAGAAATTGGTCCTTCTTAAAGCGTTGCTAGGATTTGCTGTGTTTTAAATCTTCACTTACAGTGATTTTTGTTTTCGTTCCCCCTCATTTTCCCCTGTAAAGGGTTGTTGGCTCCTGGCCAGGTGTCTGCAAACTCAGAGGGCACGGACAGCATTATGGTGACATGGGAGCCTCCTGGGAAAGCTACCTCCACTGTTCAAGAGTATGTGGTGGAATGGAGGGAGCTGCATCCGGGGGGTGGCGTGCGGACCCCTCTGAACTGGCTACGGACTCCCCCTCACAATGTGTCCACTTTGATTTCAGGTACTTAATTGTTTACCACCCTTTGGGAGGTTACTCAATTCACATTTGTTTGAGAAAACTGCAGGTAGGAACCCCAAACCCTGCCTTCCATTACACCTGGCTATGTGAGAAAGGGACAGTGATGACCTAGGGGCCTTCAGGACAGCACCTCAGAATACACCACTGCAGCCATAGAAGGCCATCTGGTTGACTGGAAGCTCTGGTATATATAGAGAATGCATGTGCCTGACACGGTGCCATTACACCAGAAGTGAATGCTTAAACCAGACGAGCATGGCTGAGAGCTAAGTGGTAACCAGTCAGTGAGATGGGCCCCTGACATTTGAGAGTTTGTTTAAGTCTCAGAAAAAGCATGTGCGGCAAGAGTTACCATTCCCATGATATAGGTGAGAATACCAGGAAATCTTTTATTCCCATTCAGGTGACTGAGAGCATATTGAACATGACTGGACAATACTTAGGCAGAGTCATTTTTAAGTGTTAAGTTCACAAAGGTGCTGGTTCTACAACCAGACAATCTAAATTTGAGTCCTGGCTCTGTTCCTTACGAGGTTGCATAATCTAGGACAAATTAGTTTAACTTCTCTGTGCCTCAGTTTCCTTACCTGTAAAATGGAGGCTATGTTATCGTGAGGACTAACTGAATTAATATAGAGAAAATATATTAATGTTTGAACAGTGCTGAACAAGTTTAAGTGTTTGATAATTTAGCTCTTATCATCATGATCATGATTATTTTATGCCATAGAGCTAAGACTTTAATAGGTTTTCAAGCTCTAAATCCCATAATACGATCATTACACCTTGACAACAATTGCACCCGTCCAGGATACCAGCTCCCTGCTTAAGGAAATAAGATTTACACGGATGAAATAAACAGAGCACACCCCATGATAATAACAGGAGATGGTCCTTAATTGTGTGCCCCTTTTACAGTGTAGCTGCTCCAGTGTTTAGTGGGTTGTGTTCAGTTTTAATCATTACACTCAAGGGAGTGCAGCCTGGTGAGCAGCAGAGGAAGGTGAGCAAGTCACTGGGGTTCTGGACTTTCAATGTGGAAACCGAGAGTTGCAGATGGGGCAGGGTGGTTTGGGGGCTGTTGCTGGCTTTGGCGTCTACCTGAGAAAGAGTTAAGTGTCCTTTATTGTTTTGGAGGCTAAAACTTTATTGTTTTGGAGGCCTCTGCATGGAAGTTATAAGGAGGCAGATGCCAGCTCTGTTTGAAGAAAGAACTTTCCTTGCCTGTCATGGTTTCTAATGGGACAGTTGATTGTCCTTGGAGTTGATGCAGTAGAACCATTTTTTCTTTAGGGCTGTTATGCTCACCAAACCAGATGAAACAGTGCATGGAAAAGGCATGTAGTGCACTCTGAACTGCTACAAAATTGCAAATGCTTGCTATAAACTGTACTAGGATTTACCCCTGCAGGATAGTTTGAATCATATAGCCCCTATAATTCCCTCTCTTTATAAATCTATACAAGTGCCATAAAATTGATGAAAAAAGAGAATGTTTTCTATAGTTAGGAAACTAAAATGTTTTTAAGCATTTTAGAAATATTTATTTGCATAAGATCAATATAATGGTGAAGTAAAATTATTCTTCTACTTGAAAATACTTGGTTAACTGTTAGTTTGTGTTGCTGTTATATTATGAAAATAAACTCCTAAAAAATTAATCAATTCACAGTTATCATAAGTTCAGAATGGCCCTCTCTGGTCAGTAATATGACTCACTGCCATTGCATCCTTAGCTTCTGGCGGGGGCAGAGTGGGTTGTTTGGAATGGGCCAGGATACAGTCTAGCTCCAGGGTTATAGGTGGATGAGACCTAGGCTAGCGATCGTCAGTCCTGTTCTGTCTATAAAAATGTTCAGGCCATACAGATCCACTCCTTTTACAAGTATGTAGACAACGCCATGTCTAGAAAACCTTGCCTCATACCTAGACTATTTGGGTCCCCATTCAGCATGCTCCCTCGTACTTCCTCTAGGATTCTTCCACGTTACTGATCATTTAGTGTTTGCCTTCTCTAAATAGGTGAAATTAGATATCTGTCCACCTAAGAGATTAGTTGTAAACATCAAAACAGAGCCTCTGCCCAAGGTTGCCAGGCATATATGTATGCATGAGAGTACGAGAAAATGAGCCAGTAGTTGGGGCCAGAATGAAGAAAGAAATGAAAATTTTAACAACGTGGGCTGTAGCCACTGGGCAGCACAGCTGAAGAACTTTTGGGGTGGGGAGCAGACATGATTAAGGGGTGTTTGTATAAGAATTAGCCACTAAAACAGGAGTCCTCAAGGTCAGAAACAGGGAACAAGATTACTAGGGCTTTATGATTTATGGAAAGGGATATGTTACCTGAGTTAAGGTGACACATTTCCTTCCCTCCTCCACTAAAGTAGGCTGTCCACAAGAAGAAGCCCATAACTTCCGATACAGCCATTCCCAAAGCTTCTACCCTGAATTCATGTTTTGCACGGCAAAATGCAACAAAAGCATTTGCTTGATGCACTCACTTGGAACTCTCAAACTGCTACAGGGCACAGCAGTTGGTTGGCACCTTCCACCACTAGTAGCAAAACACCCAGGCACCTGCCCCTTGCAAATAAAATGTGAGTGCATATTCCATGTTCCCCATGGAGCTTTGGGGTCTGGATGATGCCCATGAAGAATCTTTGGATTATTAGACTAAGCTGACTATGTCTTTGTCTCCATTTCACTTAGTTCAACTATTAGGTCAGGCAGTTTTCTGGTAGAGCCTATAGGATTTTCTATATACACTATCATGTCATCTGAAAATAATGATAGTTTTAACTCCTCTTTTCTAATTTGGATGCCTTTTATTTTTTTTTCTTGTCTGATCACTGTGGCTAGTTCTGTTGCTGGTCAGGGTGCATTTGGGAGGCAACCAATGTTTCTCTGTCTCTCCCTCTCTCTTTCTCCCTCCCCCTTCCTCTCTCTCTAAAATTATTTTTTAAATATTTTTAAAATAAAATAAAAACTAGGAAGGAGCACTAACATTCCCAGATATCTTCCAAATGTTCCAGGCTATGGTGAATCTGAGGCCTACCTAGGACACACTGGGGAGAGGTAGAGGACAAGGAACAATGGGTTGGGTTGCACTGAGTGTACCCTGGTTTGTAACACCCAGATGTGTCATCCAGAGCTGCCCTGTCAGATCCTGATAAGCTTCTGTGGAATTAGAAGGGCCTTTCAGGTTCTATGCCTGCGAAATCCCAGCCTCGCTTTTTAGTAACAGGCAAATGATTTATTTGTAGAAGTCAAAGCATTTTTCTTGAAAGAGTTTTGTTTCAAAAGTTGTCTGTGTAGTTATATTTAAATCCTTGTTGGCACTGGGAGAGTTTTTTTTTTTCCTTAAACATGATGACCCTGGGAAAAAAAACTCAGGTTTGCTAATTTATTCATTACGAGACGAACTTGGGACATGAGAGCTGTGGCTTCCAGGAGTGGAAGCCATGGAAAACAGGATGCCGAGATTTTGTAGCTTAGGTCATTCCTTTAACCTCAGTTCAAATTATACTTGAACCATCTTCAAACTAAGAAGAGGCAAGAGATGCCTTGAATGCTTCTGTATCAAATTTTAAAGCAGCTCCCTTAGTGATTCACATGGTATAAGAACTCCCTTTCCTTTGCAGAGAACATAAAGCCCTACATCTGTTATGAAATCCGTGTGCATGCACTCTCAGGGGACCAAGGAGGATGCAGCTCCATCCGGGGTAACTCTAAGTGCAAAGGTAAGTCTTGGGAACTTTTGCCAAATTTTGCTTTAGTTTAATGACTTGGATTTGGAGGGTGACAAAAGCCTCCTGCATTCTACTTTACAGCACCGCTGAGTGGGCCCCACATTAATGCCATCACAGAGGAAAAGGGGAGCATTTTAATTTCATGGAACGAAATTCCAGCCCAGGAACAAATGGGCTGCATCCTCTATTACAGGATATACTGGAAAGAACAGGACTCCAGTTCCCCACCTCGACTTTGTGGTATGTGTGAGAAGCAAATGCCGTGGGGCCTTTCTTGTTCAGATGCCAGGAGAGCACAAGTGTATGCATGTGCCTATACACAAAGGGCTGGAACCATGCCTGGCGCTTAGGAGGTGCTCAATAAATATGGTGAAATTAACCGAATAAAGGAAAATAAAAGACATCTGAACATATACACACAGTTATTGAATACATGTCATGTGCCAAGCAAATCAAAGATATGAAAATAATGGATTAGGCCCTTAAGGAGCTTACTTACATGGGGAGACAGCATTCCAAAAAGCAATAAAGGCACATACTTTAGTAGAACTATATAGACCCTTGAGGTTTGCAAGGAATGCATTTGGGGAACTTTTGAGTCCCCATCTTTGCATATATCATCATAGTATATTATTTTTTCTCAAAATAGATAAAATACAATATAGTTTAAGTAACTCCTTATGACCTACAATTATTCTATAAGACTAAAGCAATCAAAATAAATTCTGGCTGGAACATTATCTCAAATGACTTCGTGGATCACTCATTTATAGTAGCTCCAAGGCGCTTGGCAGATTTGATGTTCTAACTTTGATTTATTCAGAGTTTTCTTTTTTTTTTCCTGGCTTGCCCTTCTTTTTATTTCATAGGCATCATTGCTTTTCTCAGGAGAATTTATCATAAAGAAGCATCATTTTTGTTCCTTCACGAGAGCTAGTGGGTCAGGGAGAAGGTAACAAAGCCACCCTGAGATGTGGGTGCTAGAGTCCTGCCTGCAGACTGATTCTACCTGGGAAACTTTAGGAGTCGGTCCTGTCTGTTGACCTGAGAAGACCTGCAGTGTTGCTTTTCCACGTTGTGGCTTTTGAAGCTAGTTACTTTTTTACTACATAAATAATACTGCATGTAATAAAAACATTGAAATAGTTTGATAAGACATAAAATTGAAATGGCCCCTTCATTTATACTTAGGCTGTTATCAGTTCTTTGTGTGCTCATCCAGAAAAAAATTAATACATATCCAAGCATATATTTGGAATAATTATCTGTATTCTGATCTTCACCTTGCTTTTACTTCTTTTTTAAATATGTTTTATTGATTATGCTATTACAGTTGTCCCATTCCCACCCTTCATTCCCCTCTACCCTGCACACCCCCTCCCACCCACATTCCCCCCCTTTAGTTCATGTCCATGTGTCACACTTATAAGTTCTTTGGCTTCTACATTTCCCATACTATTCTTACTCTCCCCCTGTCTATTTTCTACCAACCATCTATGCTACTTATTCTCTGTACCTTTTCCCCCCTCTTCTCTTCCCACTCCCCTGATGCTAACCCTCCATGTGATCTCCATTTCTGTGGTTCTGTTCCTGTTCTAGTTGTTTGCTTAGTTTTTTTTGTTATTGTTTTGTTTTAGGTGTGGTTGTTAATTATTGTGAGTTTGATATCATTTTACTGTACAAGTTTTTCATCTTATTTTTCCTAGATAAGTCCCTTTAACATTTCATATAATAAGGGCTGGGTGATGATGAACTCCTTTAAGTTGACCTTATCTGAGGAGCACTTTATCTGCCCTTTCATTCTAAATGAAAGCTTTGCTGGATAGAGCAATCTTGGATGCAGGTCCTTGCCTTTCATGACTTGGAATACTTCTTTCCAGCCCCTTCTTGCCTATAAGGTCTTTTTTGAGAAATCAGCCGACAGTCTGATGGGAACTCCTTTGTAGATAACTCTCTCATTTTGTCTTGCTGCTTTTAAGATTCTCTCTTTATCTTTAATCTTGGCTAAAGTAATTATGATGTACCTTGGTGTGTTCCTCTTTGGGTCCAACTTCTTTGGGACTCTCTGGGCTTCCTGGACTTCCTGGAAGTCTGTTGCCTTTGCCAGAATGGGAAAGTTTTCCTTTATTATTTGCTCAAATAAGTTTTCCACTTGTTGCTCTTCCTCTTCTCCTTCGGATACCCCTATAAAGATGTCCTGGAGGTTCCTAAGACTCTCCTCATTTTTTTTTGAATTCTTGCTTCTTCACTCTTTTCTGTTTGGCCATTATTTGCTTTCTTCTGGTCCACTCCATTGATTTGAGTCCCAGTTTCCTTCCCATCTCTGTTGGTTCCCTATATGTTTTGCTTTATTTCACTTTGCGTAGCCTTCATTTGTTCTTACATGTTTTGACTCAGCTCCATCAGTTCTATGAGCATCCTGATTACCAGTGTTTTGAACTGTGCATCTGATAGGTTGGCTATCTCTTTATTGCTTAATTGTATTTTTTCTGGAACTTTGATCTATTTTTTTGTTTGGGCCATTTTTTTTTTGTCTTGACGCACCTGTTACATAGTAGGGGTGGAGCCTTAAGTGTTGTTCACCAGGGTGGGGCAACCCAGTGACTGGGTTTTGACCCTGTAGGTGGGGCAGGGGGTCTGAGAGGGAACAATGGTGCTTGCTCCTCTCTCTGCTGGATTTCAGTCACTTCCCCCACTGCCCACAAGCAAATTGGGCCCTTCTGGTGCTGATTCCTGGGTGGGTGGGTTTGTGTACATTCTGGGTCCCTGTGGGTCTTTCCAGCAAACTCTCCTGTGAGGCTGGGAGTCTCTCCTGGCACCTTAACCTCCACAGGTGTTTTCAGTTGGTGGTTTGAAGCTTTATTTCCCAGCGCTGGGACCCTGGGTTCCATGGTCTGTCCTGCTCCCCAGTTTCACCTGGCTTAATCTGTGTGTGAATGTGGGATTTCCTGGTCCACCAGCCGCCTTGTGCGCTGCGCCCCTCCACAATCCGCCATCTTACTAGGTCCACCTGCTGTCGCTTTGCGTGCCCAGGGTCTGTCAGCGGCCCTGCCCTGAGCCCTCTCCATTTCGGCTGCCCAACTCTGCCCCTCCTACTGGTCTGGATGAATGTGTCTACTATAACTCCTTGGTTGTCAGACTTCCATACAGTTCAATTTTCTGTCAGTACTGATTGTTTTTTTGTTTTTAAATTGTTCTTGTCCTTATTTTCGTTGTGTGAGGAGGCACAGTGTGTCTACCTATGCCTCCATCTTGGCCGGAAGTCTCTGCTTTTACTTCTTAATAATATATACTGGAAACCTTTCCACATCGGTCCATATAAATTCACCTCATTCTGTTTAACAGCTGTCTAGTATTCCATTACAAGACCTCACAAATATTCACTTAACATTCACCATTGGTAAACAAAAGATACAAAATAATAAAATAATACAAAGAATGTATTATTGAACAGAACTGCTTCCCACTGGGCCCAACAGGATAAGTTAGTTCTGAAAAACATCTGAAAAGATGATAAATCTATTGACCTCTTCCTGAGCCATTTTAAATTCTTCATGTGGAATTTGCTCCCCTCCATTTCTCAATTTTCACTTTGGAAGAGTTTGAACTAAGGTGCCCATTTACAACCAGACAGATTAACATGGTCATTTGGTTCTTAAAGCTGCTCTTGTAGATGTAGAAGAAAAATCTACTTTAGTTTGCCACAAATTTGATTAATCTAAGTCTATATAAGGATGTTTTAAAATATGTCACAAGGGGAGGAGGCTCAGATTCAAAGTCCTATTTTATACTGGTTTAAATTAAATTTTCCTATTATTCATTAAGCACTTAGTGATGGATAAGACCCATTCCTTGTCTTCATAGAGTTCAAAGTCTGTTCAAGGAGATAGAAAATTACACAAAAGTGATGTAACTGCTCTAATGAAGGACTGACAACTAGCTATTGCATTTGACAACCAGAAATCCCAGGTGATTCACAGGTGCAGCTTCTAGAGAGCGATAGAGGGCAGTAGGCTAAAGGAGAAAGACATCAGGAGAAAGAGGCCCACACCGCAAATGCTAGGTGGGGTTCCATGGGGAGTGGCAGGGGGGGCCCTGTCTTACGTGTCTTGTGGCACTGCCCAGATGGACAGCACATGCCGAGTGCACTTAGCCCTGCCTGTGCAGGAAAATAGGCTAAGGCATGTGCCTATTAATACATTCCGCAGGTGATTCTGGTGCCCAGCCTCTCCTTTGCAAGTTTTTTGATACTCATGTGCACCAATGGCAAGTGCATTCTCTACGGGTGCACACATTATGCTTTGTTACCCCTTGGCTGTTGTTGCCCACAGACTCTAAGCATCATGAGGATAGACACCATGGCAATTTGCTCACCAGTGTCTCCAGTGTACTTACAATACAGTCAGGCATACAGTAGGTTCTTAATAAAAACAGTATTTGTTGTAGATAAAAACTCTACATTTTGCTAAACCAATGTAGATTGTTAGGGAAAAAACTAATTTTCAAGAATAATGTGGCTGTTTTGCCTGATACCACTTGACCTTCTCATCCACTGCCGGTCTGAACATTGGCAACTACCACGTCCTCCTGAACTGGCACCCTTGTCCTTTAACCACCCTGAGCCTAAAGTTTCAGGGGGGCAAGGAGTTAATGGCCCTTTATCTGTGCCTGAGATCACAGCCCAGACCCAGGCAGCAGAACCGGTATTTCCTGCATGATTTCTTTCTCCCATTACTCAACTCAGCCTATTTTGCCAACCAAACTGCTGACAGCGTCATCCTCCTTACTGCTTCTCCCTGCATAGTTTCTATTTTTATTCTTTGGATACACATATGCGTATGTGAATCTATGTATAAATTTTTTGGCCCCGCGCACCATTCACATTTCTTCTCTTCTGCTCCAGCATCTGTCTCATTTCCCTCCCAGGGCTCAGGAAAGCATACCTCACACAGTGCGACGGTTGACTCCCAGATGCTCGCTGATGCTTTGTTGCAGCAGGATGAGCGGGAAGTTGCTCCAAAGTTAACTTTTTAATCCCCTGAAAGAGGAATAAGAACAGAGATTTTTTTTTAGTTGAATCACATAGCTTTCACCTGTGTAAGCAACTTCATCAGGTCAGAGTAGGCTTGGGGATTTTCCACATGGTACTTTTCTCAACAAGATGTAAAACACAGAAGTTGCTCCGATATTCACAGCCCTTACATAATCTGCCCCAACCTCTGTTCCTTTTGGTGGAGTGGATGTAAGATTGCGGGGCTCCATCTTGCTGATCACCCATAGTAAGCAGGGATGGGAAGCGTAAGGGGTCTGTTTTCTCCACTAGACGGTGAACTCCTTGAGGCACACTGTGCCTTTGTTCACTTGGTGCCTTGTCCAGAGCAGCCACTCAATAATATAAAAAATATCAATAATTTGGCTGTGGAAAAATCAATAATTTGAGCAAACAGGGTCATCACCTGACTTGCACTGGGGTTTGAGAGCCAGTGAATGATGTCAAGGCACAAGGTGCTGGCTTCTGGCATCCACGCTGATCACCAGCACAGGTGCAAGTCTGCTGAGCAAGCTGGTGGGCTGCTTCTGCTGAAGCCTTAATTGTATAGTTCCTGACCACGTGGCTACTCCAAACTTGCACCCGGAAGATCACCGGAGGGGAAGATTGCCTCTTCACCAAAGGCCCCCGACACTCATGTTTCTGGAGAAAAACAGCATCAGTGCATTGTGCTCAGAAATCAACATCTTCCGTGCTGAGAAAATGCAAGGATGTTAAGAACATAAGGGACTGATCATTTTGGCTTAAACTGCCAAAATAAATCTAATCCTGAGTACCATTGCTCTACATTTTAGATTTTATGTGAAATTTTAGCAGATGGTCATATTAAGCCCACAAAGCCCAGTACTCAGAGCCTACCAAAAAAAGTAGAAAATTAGAATTAATAAATGTTGCTTATATATCTGTTTTATTGCTGAACTTCACTGTCTTAAAAATTCCATTGAGAGCAATTTATACATTTAATTTCCTCCCCAAGAGTTCTCAAATATACCTGGTAAATGCCAGAAACATTGTAGGAAACAAAAAAAATGCTAAATACTTTCAAAGCAAAATGATAAGAAAGATTTTACCACAGGAAAAATATTTAATTCTTTTGATATGCTGAGAAGTGAAGCCTCCATCGATGGCAATATCCAGGGCCTGCGAAAGTATTAAGTATTAATTAATTACTTACACCTGTTTAATTACACAGGCGTAAGACTATTTAAAAATACATACGTGCTTTTCTCGTTCTAATTAAATGAAGAATTAACAAAAATGAGTAAGAGCCCGTACTCAAATATTTCCTTTAATATGTAGCTTTCTTTTTTTGTCTTTATCTTCCTTTCAGAAATCCCCTATAGGGCCTCTCCAAACTCACACCCAGTGAACGGCCTGCAGCCCGGAGTGAGATACGTCCTGTGGATGACGGCCCTGACTGCCGCTGGCGAGAGCCCCCGCGGAAGTGAGAGGGAATTTTGTCTGCAGGGTAAGAAACGGCCGTAGAGGTGGACAGTACACTCTGGGTTCCCACCAGGTGTAGAGTCCCCACTGCCTTTGGCATGGAGATTATCAGATTTTCTTCAATTTCCTCATAACATTGTTACTGCTACACCTTTGCACTTGCTGTTTCCTCTAACCGGACTGTCCTGCCATGGCATCGTCTACTCAGAGACAGTGTCTACTCATTTTTCAACACTCGGTGAAAATGTTTCGTCCTCCAGGAAGCATTTCCAAATGTACCCCCGTATTTCCTTCATAATGCACTACATTTGACCAACATTCAAAACTCAAAATCCAATAGGCAGGGACTGGTATCTGTTTCTCTCTGTCTTCAAGGTCTAAAATGGTGCCCAACACTTAGCACTTGTTTACTGAATGTGTGTTTAATGGATGATGACAATAATCTCAACAATAACAATAGCAACTATTGCATTGAGATAGTTATGTACCAGCCATTGTGTTGTGTGCTTCTATAACATAGGAAACACACCTAAAAAAACCAAACCTGAATTATCTTCTGGAGGGTGAGTCTCTTGTAGTACAGGCTTCCTCTGATAGGTGAGCGTTCTAGGAACCCATCTGTATTAGTGTACCAGCTGGGGTTGTTGTGAGAGGCTGCATTTGGCTTCAGTAAATTTTTTTTAAGACTCTTTCAACATCTTTGCCCATTTCATGATGGGTGATTTACAAGCTCACCTGCCCACACTGTGCTGAGTGTTCAGCAGTTTTTGACCAAAAAATGACATGATTCCTGTGCCCCACCCTATTTACCCAATCTCTCCCTGAGCAATTTTTTTTGTTTCTCCTGAATAAGAAAGTCCTCAAAGGGAAACGTTTTTGCTGATGTGGAAGAGGTGAAACCAAAAACAAGAGAAGCACTAAAAGGCATCAAAATTGACAAGTTCAAAAACTGTTTGAGCAATGAAAAAAAGGCTCGATAGGTGCATTGCATCAAATGGAGAGTACTTTGAAGGTGACTGAAGTTTAAACATGGAAGAATAAATATACAATTTTATATAAGTAAATTCCGGGTTTTCTGGGTCCCCCCTCATATTGGTTTGCTGGGGCTCCTGTAACTAAGTACTACACACTGGGTGGCTTATACAATAGAAATTTATTTTCTCACAGTTTGGAGGCTGGAAGTCCAAGATCAAGGAGTCAGCAGAGTTAGTCTCTTCTGAGGGCTATGAAAGAACCTATTTTATGCCTCTCACCTTGAGTCTGGTGGCAATCTTTGCCATTCCTACACTTGTGAATCTCTGTCTTCATCTTGACATTGAGTTTTCCTTATATGTGTCTCTGTGTTCAAATTTTCCCTCTTGGTATGAACACCAGTCATATTGGAGGAGAGGTAACCCTACTGCAGTCTGACCTCATCTTAACTAATTACATCTGCAATGACCCTACTTCCAAATAAGGTCACTTTTTGAGTTACTGGAGGTTAGGACTTCAACATATGGATTTGGGGGTTGAGAGGACACAATGCACCCTACATAGCACATACTTCCACTCATTCAGTCTTGCACACCAAGTGCCTGCTTTACATGATTACACCTGGTCACACTACCAGGCACTCAATATGGAGCAAATAAAGGAATGAGGTGTTAGGGTGCTTTCTTACAAGTGTAAGGCAAAAAAATTACCCAAGGTCATTGAGGTGGTAAATAGCAGAGCTACAAATCAAACAGATTGGAGTGACTTAAGTTACGCTGTCCTCTCTGGCAGCACTAGTTTGCATTTGCTCCAAGAGTGGAACAAGCTGTTCTTGCTTTGTAACGTGGAGTATCAGGTTGATCATTCAGTACTTTGTTGTTCTATGCCAGGTAATTCTCCACTGGGGGAACTGAAAAACCCTCTTTTCCTCTCCCAGCTACTCCTGTGAAAGTTAACTTGGGAGCAATTAATTAGATTAAGAACTCATCCTCTTTCTACTCGTGGTACTGCAGACTGTCCCAACTGCCCAGCAAGGAAGGCAGACGCTGAAGAAATGTCAGATTGTGCTGATTACATGGGGTGGTAACAAGGCTGCCCGCTCCAACTCCCCCGTTCAGCTCTGATAACACACCTCTCACTGGGCCGAGCGAGTCTCCGGCCCCTCCTTTCCCCTGGTCACCTGCACCCCCAGCCTGCCCTTCATTCTATCAGAAGACTCTTTCTGCAAGACCCCCAGGGCAACCCATCAAGTGGTTCCCTGAGGGCTTCGAGCTTGAATTCAAACTGCCTGGTTACCAGGCCCTGCATGATCTGGTCCTGTTCACCCATTCGCCTTCATCCTTTGTGTCACACTCATCACTGACACTCAAAAGCAAGACCAGGCTGCCTGTAGTCACCTGGAAGTGCCATGCCGTTTCATCCTTCCACTCCTTTGCATAGTTCTCCGTCTAGTCTGTGCTTCCCCATTTTGTCTGCCTAGCCAACTCCTATCGATCCAACTCTAAACTTTTGACATCATGCCTTTTGAGAAACCTTCCTGAACTGTGCCTGAGGCCGTATCCCGTGCCATTCTCTGCTGTAGGACCTCATACATGCTTATTTTACAATTGTTTACATGGGCTACATTCATGACTTCTGAAGACAGCAGAGCCCAAGTCCTATTCATCTCCACATCTCAGCACCTAATAGGGCTGGGTATATGGTTAATAATGAATACCGGATGAATTAATGAATAATTCTGACACGTGGCAAAGTACATGTTCATAAGAAGAAATCAAAACAATTTCAAAGACCCTAATCAGATTCGGTTGGTTCACCCAATGGTTTGGTAAAATTACTAGCTACTGTTTCTTGCGGGCCTGCTATGTTCAGATGGGTACATTGCCTTGTGCTTTAACTACACTGCCTCTAATCCTCACAGCATCCTGCAGGTAGACATCTCATTCACCTTTTCCAGACCAAGAATAGGTCCCCGGGTCACACTGCTGTCAGTGGAAGATCCGGCACCAGGATTCAGGGCTCCCCGTTTACCCCTGTGCTCTGGGTGCCACAGCCCTTGTCCTCCCACCCACTGGAGGAGGGAGCCCCGGTAGGGCTGGCGCTTCTCTCAGAACCGTAGAGTGGGCTCCCCGAGGGCCCCTTCTCCTTAAATGAATGCATAGAAATGAGCTGGCCTTTTCCTGGGCCCGGCTACCCAGGAGCTGTGGGTCGGCCCAACGAATATCAGTATTCGTTGAAAGGATCTCAGTCACGGGGTTTGCTCTCTTTTCAGGTAAAGCCAGTTGGAGCATGTTTATGGTCCCGAGCATCTGCACTGCTGTCGTCGTGGTGGGCATCTTCTCAGTGCCTTACTCCCGGCAAAAGTGAGTTGGGTACATCTGCCAATTTGGGTAAAAAAATTTTTAAATGATGATCGCTGTTGCTGCTATGAGTCCAAGAAATGGATGCTCTCATACATTGCTGGTGGCAGACAAATTTATTCAGCATTTTGGAGTGACAATATGTGTTAAATCTTTAAAAACATTCTACCATAGCAATTCCTATTTAGAAATTTATTCTATTATAGGGGCATGTGGCTATTTGATGGCAAATATGTTCACTAAAGTATTGTTCATAAAAGGAAAACTAATTTGAAACAACACAAATGCCTGATGATATGGGATTAACTAAATTGCATCTTATGTTATAGCAATACTATGCATCCATTAAAAACATAGAATGAAATTTAATCGTGAATATTTGCTATATTACATTTTAAAAAGCAGTTTGCAAAACAATATGTACTTCCATTTTTTTAAAAAAGATTTTATTTATTTTTAGAGAAGGGAAGGAGAAAGAGAGGGAGAGAAACATCAATGTGTGGTTGCCTCTCATGTGTTCCCTACTCGGGACCCGGCCTGCAACCCAGGCATGTGCCCTGACTGGGAATTGAACCAGTGACTTCTTGTTTTGCAGGCTGGCACTCAATCCACTGAGCCACACCAGCCAGGGTTGTACTTCCATTAAAAAAAAATAGTACATGTACACACACATGAATATACATACAAGATATTGTCAGTCATTGTTAAGTTTGGTTGTATGTAACTTTTATAGCCAAAATAACGTGACAAACTAGCTAACGGTTTCCCATCCAAGTAAGGCCTTGTGTTAGCTCCAGTTTTGGGGACCGGGGTTCCTTGCATCTTCCTGCTCCATTCTGCTGACACTGGCTTCCATCAGTTTCCCCTCTCGGTCCAGTGGCTACAGGAATCATAGCCATCATGCCTGCATTTTATCACCACAGGGACAGAGAAGTCGCCCACACCCGCCTTTCCAGTTGATGCTACATGAAGAAGTCACACAAGATGCTGTTGGTTAGATCTCATTGGCCAGAACTTGGTGCAGTTGGGAGGTTTAAAACTGGCCTTATAGTTGGGTTCATGATTGTCCCAATACAGTAGGGTGCACTTTCTTTGGAATGAAAGAAAACAGGTATTGGGTGGCAATGAACACTTTCTGCCCCAAAGGTATACACCAAAAGATTAATGGTGGTTATATCAAAGAACGAAATCATAGGTGATTTTAGTGCTTTCTATTTAACTGTATTTTCTAAAATTTTTAAAAGGTGCATTACTTAATAAGAGGAAATTTTTAAAAATGTAGTACTTCAATACAAAGTTTTCTTCAGATGTCATGTAAAGTAAGAGAAGAGGTAAAAATAAAACAAGCTCAAAGTCATTCTACTAGACACTGAACTTGGCTGAAAGGCTTTACATTTATTGAAGCTCCCATGTGTGACAGATACTTCAAAGCGGAGCTCTCTTTAGGTAGATTTTGAAGTTAAACTAAAAAGGAGTTAACTAAGATCACATACATCCTCTTCAGGGAAATAGTATCAGCTAGGGTCAAGGCTTCCGCTGTTAAAAGAAAAAGAAAAAAAAAAAAAAGAGGACTCAAAAGCAGTGGCTTTAATGAAAGAGTTTGTTTCTCTCACATGTAAGAGGTCAAGTCATCCAGGTGGGCTGTCAGCTCTGTTCCACACAGTCATTTAGGGACCCAGCTTTATTCCATTTTATTGGCCCACCACCCTTTGGACACTGTCCTCATCTGCATGATCTGTACTAGGTCACAGGTACCTCTGCTCACAATTTTTTGGAGAACAACTAGTCACACAGCCACCTCTCTTGTTTCAAAGAGCTAAACACATCCCAGAAGCTTACCATTCTTATTAAACATCAAAGTTTATTAAAGCCATTGATTTAATGATGTTTTGTATTGGTCTTGAATACTTAAAATATAGTGATTAATATTTAAGCCACATGCCATATAAGAAACATTTTTTAGAATGTTTCCTTTCCACATCATAAAAGTAATAGAAACTCATTTTAAAAATATTTTTAAAAACCTAGAGATGTAGGGAAAAAGACCCACATTCGCTCTGATCACCAAACACAAGTACTGTTAACAGTTTGAATGGTTCTCCATGGTATTTTTTCTTGGCATTTTTTTGCAAGATTTATGTTCAAGCTATTTATATTACTTGTATCCTGTTTGTTATTTTTACTTTTAGCACAATAATGTCCCTGTCATTATAAACTCTTTATAAACATTGTAATGAAGTAAATGGCAAGCTCCCAAGGGTAGGGACCATGCCTCATTGTCTGCCGTCCTGTCCCAGCACTGTGCTGGTCACGCAGAAGGGAATGTCTGTTGAACAGTTGCATGGCTGGATGGTGACAGCTACACATTACATTGATCGGAAGTTCCACAGTTTTCTTAACAAACCCCAAGCGACTACACAACTCTTTGTCATCTATCTACACTTCACAGAAAGCTAGTCCCTCCTTCGGTGACGTGCCATCTTTCCCCTTCAGTGTTCCCGTTTCACTCATTTCACTCATTGGCACAGCCCTGCACTGAACAACCCCCCACACTGAAGTCCCTGCACCAGGAACCTGTGCTTCCATACTTAACCAGGTGGCATTCTTTTCTTTATCTATAGGCTAGCCGTCCTCCTGTCAGCCCTCAGACCTCAGTGGTGTAGCAGACAAATTCCAGACCCAGCGAACAGCACGTGGGCCAAGAAATATCTCATTGTGGAGGTAAGATGTAAAGCCTTAGTGGCCAGTTGGTGGGGTTCTAGACGTCTGAGCATCTAAGTTTCCCCTGGTGGTTAGTAGGAAACCTGGGTACTGAGAACTTGCGCATAAAGTGAGGTCATTACACTAGGTTACCATCTGAGTCATTACTCCCAGGTATAAGGATTTTCTGAAGCTTATGACTCAAAGACTCAGAGTCATAGCTTTTCATTCCTCACTATGCCTTGTCTCCCTTCTCACCTCAACTTACTTTAAAAGAAATTTAAAAACAATTATTTTTGCCATTTGTGGAGCCCTAGGCTGAGCACTGACTCATTTCAATTCAAGAGAATTGAAGCTTTACCCAGGATGTTCCCAGCCCCCACCCTACCCCCATCCCACCCCACCCCGGTCTGAGCACAGAACAGATAAATAGAACCCAGACTATTTTGGTTTTGGCAGGAAGCCAGTAAGCCATCCCCCTGAGTATGGAAAAGGTCCTAAAGGAGAGGTTGCTCAGCTGGCAGACGACAGAGCCAGAGTAAAGGAAGCAAAGAGAGCTGCTCCTGTGCAGTCTGAGGTTGGAGAGCTCACAGTGGGCAAGATGGTCCATCTCGGGTGGAAGGTTTGGAAGCTGAAGGCATCTGAATATGGAGCAGGACTGCGCATTTATGGAAAGGAAAGGGGAGGAAAGTGGTATGTCAGTGCATTCTTCCCGGGGCACATTCCCTTAACCACACTTTATAGCTCTTCTCCTACAACATTCTTCTCTTCAAATGCCTAGTACATTGTATTATCTACATCCTTCCTTAGCCAGAAGCCCATGGTACCGGCTGCTACTCAGGTAAAGAGCTCGTTTCAGCTATGTCTGCCTCAGCAGGAATTCAAGTCCCTGCAGTTCAGTGCTTTTGAAAGGCTTGAATGCAAACTCCACCTCTGCCCCTTACTATGTGGACGACCCTTGGGCAACTTGCCTGACATCTACACTCTAATTTCATTCTCTGTGAAATAGGAATTGATAACATCTCCCATATATACTGTTGTGAGGATTAAGAAAGATGCCATGTAGAGTACGTGGCTCATACAAGGCAAAGATCATTCACTTTCTTCTCAGGAAGACTCGTACTTGATGTCTCCCTCTGTCTACTGAGGGGTTTTGTTATTGTTAAGTTCCAATAGCAAGAACAGTAATAATAGCAGTAGGTTATATATATACATATATATATACACACACACACACACACATATAACCTATATATATTGCATATATTATATATCTGCATGATATACAATTATATATGGTATATTTTATTATACACCTATGTTTATATACATTTATATAATATATAATTTTGTATATGCCAAGCACTTTAAAAAATGTTTTTTTATGCATTAACATCTAATCCATATAGTACAGCTTTATGAAGTTGTACTATTATTCTCATTTTTCAGATGAGGAGGAAACTTAGGCGTGGAGGACTGAGTAACTCACCCAGTGTTAGTCAGCTAGTAAATGGTGGACCCTGAATTCACACAGATGCAGGGTGTGCCGTCTGCCATTACACTACACACTCTAAAAGATCTTTAAGCACCAGGTGTAAGAGGAGTCTTTCTGGAAGTCAACGTCTCTGAGCTGAACAGGCTAAAGAGGGCCCTCCCGTAATGGCAATATTGTAATGACCTGTGGGAATGCACTCCGCAGGGATGCCACGGCCACGTTAGAGGGGATTCAAGTACTAGGAACTGAACCAGCTTAGCTTTAAGGTCTCTTTCTTCCAATGCTGAGATTCTGTAGGCCCATGTCCTAAAACAGCAATCTCAGCCTTTTTCATCTCATGGCACACACAAATTAATTACTAAAATTTTGTGGCTTAGGTGTTGACAGGGTGATTTAGTTGTTGAGGGCATCGTCCCAATATCCCAAGGTTGTGGGTTCAATCCCTGGTCATGACACATACAAGAATCAACCAGTCAGTGTATAAATAAGTGGAACAACAAACTGAGGTTTCTCTCTCCCCCATCCCTCTCTCTAAAATTAATAAATAAAAGAAGCTTTTTTAAAATTAGGGTTATAGAGTTCTGCAGCACAGCAAAAAAAATTTTTTTTGCCAATCTGAAAAAACAATAGATATAATTTTTATTCATTCACACTGGACAGTTAATGTTGTATTGGCTGTTGTCATTTTTTTATTTGACAAATCAAGGGAAAAGAGGTCAGTGCCCCTCAATAAATAGTCAGGTATTGCATGTTTTAATGATTTTCGCGGCACACCATGGTGCCTGCGTGACACACCAGTTGAAAAATCACTGACCCAGAAACCTGAACTAGCAGGGTGGGAAGCAACTCCGGGTCCATCCTGGACACTTGGCTTCCAAGCCGGCAGCTTTGACGTCATGGGTTCCATTTGCCTCTGCCTGGGCATGACAGGGGACCTTAAAAAGCCTAGAAGAAATGCTAAGACACACAAAGGGTTAATGAAAATAACACAGGGAAAAGGTAACGGAAATTGCCACACACATACCCTAAGTTGTATAAATATGTTCCTTAGAGCCTTATACATAGAAGCCAGAAATTGGGCATAGTGTAACCCGCTGCACTATGGAGGTCAGGCTGAACATTTAGAATAAATCCACACAATAGGATATTATGCAACTATTTTTAAAAAATCTATATATTTCTGAAAACCTCTAAGGTATTTAAAAATGAAAAAAGGAAAATCTGTAACAGTTTCTAAAGTGGGTTCTTATTTGTATAAAAAGGAGGGAGACTTTATACACACACACCCTCCTGGGAAGCTGCATATGAAACTGATCATCGGGGTTGCCTTTGGGGAAGGGGGTGGAGATAGGAGGGCCATTTAATTTTCATTACAAATTTCCTTTAAACTTTTAAAATTTCCTTAAAAACCATGTGCAGCATGTTTTTTTCCCCAAAAATAAATGGTAAGTTAGAAAATTTAAAACATTTAGCTTCAACATGGCATCTGCAATGAAGGCCTTGAGGCAGCCTCAGAACCCAGGTCACTTGACCCTTGTAGTGAGTGGACTGGTGTTAGTTAAAGGCCCAAACTGCTCTCCTGGTGATATAGAACAGGGCAGAATCAAAACTGCAAGTCTTTCAACTCCAACAAAATGTTTTCTGTTTTCAGGCCTTCTATGCCCTTCCCATTTTAGATGTAGCTAAAAAAATCATGTGTCTTAAAGCTCTGGAGGAAAAAGCCAAATCATGACGGGGATCACCAGAATATTGTACAGGCTTAAAATAGTGTCCACAAGGTACCTGGGCCAATGGTGCTCTAAGAGGCCTTGTCACAGGACTTGTCTGCCAGAGCGCCTACTTTATAAAAGCTCGGAGGAACAGCCTCTATCATGCCGCCAAAGCTTTCAGGAAGGCAGAGTGAACTCCTCACCTTGTGATAAGGAGCCATTTCCACACCCTGTGTAATCAGTCTCTCACGTCTGTGATAGCAGCACTGGCCCCTCGCTTCCCAGAGCAGCCAATCAGGCTCCAGCCACACTCCCAAGCCAGGGCCAGCCTGGGCAGCAATTGGGAAGAGTAAGCTTCCAAGAGAGGCACACGCACATACCCTCTGCCTTGTGGTCCCTTTGCAGAAGGCTGTCCTGAGATGGCACCATCATTCACTTTTTGGAAACTTCTCAAGCTCGAGGCAAGGCAAGGGACATCAGAGCCAATCCAGACTAAATCATTCTCTCACCATTTGACATTTGATGGGTGAGGGAATCCCAGGCCAGAGAGGTTGTTTTCCCGAGCTGTAAGGTGTCAGAGTTGGAACTAGTCCTGAGGATTCGCCCTGTCCCAAGGCTATTTTTTGTCAACCTATGCCTCCCTTAAAACATGGTCCCCACTCGTTGATGGCTATGGACACGTTTAAAAAGTGTGGCATTACAAAGCACCATGTGCCAAGAACCTAATGGGCAGTTGCTTCACTGCTGTAGTTTTCAGCGGAGGGAACAGTCACTAGGGGCTTCAAGAACGAGGAAGGTGGCGAACAGGGGATGGTGTGGCAAACAGAAGCAGGTGGAAGCTGCCAGTGGGAGCAAAAGTGGGAGCAAAAGTATGGTGGCACAGAGCAAAAGGCGTATTTAGTAAGACCAGGATGGTGTGTGTGCCTGAAATAATTTCTGAACAAAAACATGGGGACTGGAGGAAGGTGAAGGAACCTGATTGCCAAGGGTAGGGCGGAAAACTTGACTGCTTATGTAAACCTCAGGCCTTAAAGGCAGGCGAGCTTTGCCTTAGTGAGATCAGTCAGTGTGAAAGAGTTTCCAGGATGTGAGGAGAGTCAGAGAAAGCAAAGAAATGTTAATAAAGGGCTTGGACGTGGGCTCAGGAATCAACATCAGTTTGGAAAGCAGGGATGACATTGACATTGAAGAGTTGGTAATCAATGTGCTGTTGAGAAAGTAAGCAAGAGAAGTAACAGACAAATTAGATAGAGGGGGAAAAAGGATGCAAGTTTTCTTCCCAAAAAAGTTATTCTAGAGAGGTCTTTCTTAAGAACAGAACGGATGAAGAAATTACCCTAAAACTTTTCAGGTAGTTGTACGAAAACCCAAACTGCTTAGCATCCCTTAAAAATCCCTTCATCGTGTGACTTCCTCCTATGTCTGAAGCTTCGGTTTCCCTGCCATAACTAGCAGGTTCCAGAACAGACCGGTCCTCCTTGCCCACGACCTCCTTATATGAGAAAAGCCTATATACGTCTTAGGATTCAGCTCTAGCGTGACCCTTTTACAGTCTTTCCTGCCACCTCCCCGAGACAGAGGCACGCTCAGCCCTGCTTTTGCACCCATCGTGTCCTCTGTCCTAGAAGAAAAGCAGCTAGTGCAGTTTGACTCACCAGAAACAGTCTGGTTGAAGCTGAGCAGTGTAGTGAATCACCACTCACTGGCTGGGGTTGAGAGGACTCCATGGCTCCTGCTTGTCTGCCTCCTGGACAGTGTTAGCTGCTTCTCTTACCTCGAAAAGTCGAGGGACCACAGTCTGTGAGGCCCTCTGGAACCCTGAAGTCAGTCGTCAAGGCTACTCACTTAACATAGCCATATGAGCTTCTTCCTTCTCTTTCTCAGGAGAAGATGCAGCTGCCCTTGGACAGGATCCTAACAGACTGGCCCACTCTGAAAGAACCTGAGCCCCTGGTCATCAGCGAAGTCCTTCACCAAGCGACCCCGGGCTTCAGACGTCTCGTTCACCCCAACTGGCCAGAAAAGGGAAAAGGAGTCCAAGGTCACTATACCTCTGAGGAAGACACAGGGTACAGTGCCTCAGGCTCACCACCTCCAAGAGCTCTCACAGCAGAGACGGGACAGCCAGTGGATCTGTACAAGGTGCTGGGGAGTAGGGACCCTGACTCGAAGCCAGGAAACCCAGCAAGCCCCTCGCCGGCCCTCCCAGTGGACTACCTTCCCACCCACGAGGGCTACTTACCCTCCAACGTGGATTATCTCCCTGCACATGAGTCTTCTGTGACTGAGCCCCCAGAAGAACTAGAGCCTCAGCACATCTCCCTTTCTGTTTTTCCCTCAAGCTCCCTTCACCCGCTCACCTTCTCCTGTGGCGAGAAGCTGACTTTGGATCGGTTGAAGATGGGGTGTGGCTCCCTCATGCTTTGAATGAAGGTTGAAACTTGGCCAGTGCTCCCAGTCAGCACAGCAGGCCCATCTACCCAGCCCTCTGCTCCAGCTATCAGTTCCTGTGGCTGCTACCATTTGCTCTGTTTGCAGCTAGAGGACCACCAAGCCAGCTCAGGGAGAATCTCGGGGAACTGAGAGTTGGCTGCAGCGGATACCTCATCTGGCCTTCTCCAGAGGCTTCAGATTACATCTTCAGGTCCACTGTGTGGACCTGGAGACTCCAGTTTAAATTCCTGCAGCTTTCTTGGCTATGGTGGCTGGAAAAGGGGAGTGTGGAAACCAAAACGCTTACTAGCAATGAGAACCATTCTACAATTGTTTATAAAGCAGCTACTATATACCAGGTCTTAGGTTGAGATGATCAGCACTGTTCAATAGGCCTATCTACACTGCTGAGTACGCTAGACACTAACAAGTGGCTGTATACACTTTGAAACATGCCTAGTATGACCGAAGAACCAAATTTGGATTGTAATTGAAATAGTCACATGTGGCTAGCACTACTGTATTAAACACAGCTACAGATGATGGATACATCAGTAAGAATTACCAGGTAACTCCAAAATACATCATCCTAGTTTTACAAATAACATTAAAGACCCTGGTGTACACCAGTGTAGAAGGACTTTCAAGGCGGTGATGATTGTCCTTATTTATGGAAGCCTAAGAATGTACCTTCCCCTAGTTTTGCTGGTTTATTTTGCCTTAGCCTTCCAGTGAATCAAGAACAGCTTGGTTGTGGAAAAGCTACCTGTAAACCCACCTTACAATCTTGTGCAAGCAGCCACCTCTGTGAAATCAGACATCCAGAAAAGGAGTGGGCCAAAGGCTCTCTGCCTGTTTTCTTTCTGATGCAGAGGGTGCTGCCCTGGGGACCAGCGCTATGTCAGGGTTCAAGACCCAAACTGCTACGGTTGTAGTGTCCTCTCCGCTTTCCTTCCTGAAGAAAACTGAACTGGTCCTTAGCTCAAATTGAGCCTAGAAGAGTATTATTTTCCCCAGCGCAAACTTGAGACATGGTACATGTTTTACTCCTTTGAAGAGGTGGTCCTGGCCTGTCACCCTCCCCATGCTCATCACTGCCTGTATCCTGTTCCCTAGAGGCACTTCTGCTAACCTGGTTTAATTGCTAATAGTACCCTTCCCACGAAACAGGATAAAAGGTCCAAGAACTTTCTTCTTAAATCCCTGTCAGGCATGGGGCCTATCTCCTACCCCCATCCCTCCCCAACTGAACTGAGGCAGGTATCCCGCAGAGCTCTAGAAATTGAAATAACGAACACTGCTCTGATTGTGCATGTTTAAGTCTTCATCCAAGCTTCTTGCCATTCCAGACTTACCATATTTAGTCCTCCCAGGGTTTTTCTTCCTTGCATACATCTCTATTTTACTCTAGCTGCTATACAGCAACCCGCACACTATTCCCTTGCATCTGAGCTTCAGCACTGGCTGCTCTGCACTCAGGATGGGGTACCTTGTTTGTTTGCAATGGGCCACAGAGTCACCTACTTAGAAGCTGACCAACCTTTTACCTCTTGACAATGGAAGCCAACTTTTCTTTCTTGCAATACCTGTTTTTTGTATCCTTAGTTATCCTCTTATCACCTACTACCTTAGCCACCCTTCCCTTTCTCACTTGGCCCCAAAGACCAGCTGGCAGTCTTCTTTTTACCCCCAATGCTCCACATCCTTTCCCTTAAAACCGCAGTCCCTTTTTTTCCCTAAATAAGAAAAAATATAATTTAATCTTAAAAAAAGGAGACTCCCCTGACTCAAGGATCTTTTTCAGGATGGAGCGGCTTCCATGGTGCCCCACTGGCAAGATGCCCAGACCATCTACTTCCTCTACTAGACGCAAACAACCTGAGGGCAGGAACCACGCTGTGTTTCCTGTGCCTGATACACAGATACCAGTCACCATTCTTGCCCCTTCTGTTCCCGAAGCCAGTCCGGCTGTGCACGCTCACTTTCCACTGGGACAACTGAGTTTGCATTTGTTCTTCATTCCCAACCCTCTCCACCCCCACTGTCCACTGGCAGCACTGCTACTAGTAGCAATGTTTAAAAACATACTTGAGCAAGACTTCTGCAGCTCGTCCGAGATAAAATGTCCTCTTTCCATGAATGAGGACGGGCAACCTTGTTCTGTTCTTGCCCCTAGTTTTCATATATACCACCTTCCTGCCACACACCAAAATTTCAAAACAGGTTGCCTAGTTTACCAGGACTAAGTGGAGCTTCTCAATCCTCAGACTTTCATTCCTCAGGAAAACTAGCAGTGATTTAAATCCTCAATGTACATCCCAAGACAACCCAGATACCTCTGCTGTTCAAACATGAAATTCCTTAGTTTTCCGGGACCTAAATCTGGTCCCAAGTTCACACTTGCAGGATATATGGCAACCATCCTCATTAATTTTTGTATACAAATCTGTACTTTGAATTGTTCCTTGAAAGAGCCCACTTTCCCAGAAGCCAAAGATTCTATTTCCTGGGCTTCTGTCTTCCTTGTAGACAACAGGGGAGTCAAACTAGTTCCCTAGCTCTGTCCTTTTACTGCCTTTCCCCCTCCATCGTCCCAATTTCTCAGCTTCCATTAATATCCTACAGCTGCAACTCACCAGTGCCCTGAAGCCTGTGAGAGAGATGCCAAGCTAGGCATTCTATTCTAGTCAACCTCCCATGTTAGAATCTGGGTTTTTTTTTTTGAAGCTCCAACTTTTCATGTGTCACAATTGCCACATGCCTTGATACCAACTCAAGCCCTCTAAGAGTCCTGTTTTGCTCTTACTAATCTGCAGGACTCACGGATGTTCACACTATCCCATCGTATAAAGGCTGACTGACAGATGAACCCTCAAGTAAACTACTCTCTAGAATAAAAGATCAGAAAGGTCTCTTCTTCCTCCTAAAAAAAAAAATCAATTCAATCAATTGCCTAATTGACAACTAAAAGAAGTTAGATCTTCACATCAGCCTATACCGAAAATAAATCTTCAGTGAAAAATGTGCAAAACATCAAGTTAGATCAAGATATTTGCAATACATGCCCAAAATAGAAAAAAAGTCAACATTTCAAATGGACTGAGAAACACAAAACAGTAAATGTTCAATAGTGTCACCCCAATAAATTCAGTAAAAAGGAAAAAAAGTAAGTAATAAGCATGAAGAAAATAATCACCTGTAATCAAAGGAATAAAATTAAACACCACTTTCCACCAACTGAATTAGAGAAATTAAACAAAAAATTACCCAGTATTAATCAGAGATGATGTTTGCAACCAGGTATGCTAGATGGCTCCTTTCGGGAAGCAGTCGGGCAGTACTTTTTCAAATTTCAATAAACAGCTCCACTCCTAGCAATGCAGATTAATGAACAGTATAAACGAGTTATTACAGCATTGCTTACAACAGGGAGAGGGACTTAAATGCCCTTTAAGAGGAATTTGGTTCATCTAGACAACAAAACAGTACCCTGAAATTTAAGACTATAAATTTCAGAACACCCCCACCATTCTACTATGTTCTGAATTGAAAATGAAAAAGCTACTAAAACTGAAATATGCTGTTGATTTCTATGGTGCATGATTCCCCTGCCCACCCCCACAATGACTGAAACTGGGATGGATCTTGGAGTTGATGAAAAGCACAACACACAATCCTTCAAAAAAGCAGAGCAATATTTGGTACGGAAATGGTCAATTACAAAAGAATGAACAGAATCATATCACTGTCATAAATCAAGCAAACAGGTTTTTGAAATAGACGCAAAAACACTAACAGTTGGTTTCCTCTAGTCGTAAGTTTTTAAATTCTATTTCTACATTTTCATTAAAAATAGTCCTTATAATTAGTCAATACAATATACCCAATTCTCTCCCCCCAAAGGCCAGACACGGTAGGTCTAGAAACAGACAGACACAATCAACCACTTTTGTTTATGGCCATGTCACTTTCATCCTCTGACACTTTCACTGATGTTTATTACTCCTGTCAGTTGGTAGAAAAGGCAAAGGAAGATGAGGCACCTAGTGAGGGTGGGGTTGGGGACTTTCAGGTAACAACTGAAGCAATGGATCTCTGAAGTACTAAGTTGATATAACAAGCCAAATTCCCATTCAGTGTATGTAACACAACGCATTTGATCCTGTTTCCTCTCTGGGTTGGTTCCAGGACCACCTCCATCCGCAGATGTCAAAATCCTTGGATGCTCAGTCCCTTATATAAAATGGTGGATTTGTATATAATATACACACATCCTTTCAGGTACTTCAAGTCTCTAGATTATACCTAGCACAACATAAATAGTTGTACTGTAATGTTTAAGGAATGACAAGAAATGGCTGTACATACTATACACAGTAGGCCTAAACACATAGCACGTGCCACCAACTATGTAACTTTTTTTTTTTTTTGATATTTTAATCCTCGGCTGAATCTGTGGAGTTAGAACTGTAGACAGAGAGGGCAATGTACTTATTAGCACATGCTGATTTGAAGATACGTAATTCATTTCTCACCATGACCAGTTTAAGATTGGTGTTATCTCCATTCTAGAGAAAAGGAAACAAATACAAGTGAATGGTTAAGTCACACTACTAGTTCCTAATATGTGACAGTCTGGTTTCAGAGCATAACTTCCAGCTATACAAATTCCTTTCAATGCAAATGACTGCTCTACAAACTGACATCAGTTGGGGTTCTAACTGCAGTTGACTAAAACTGATGCCGTAAAAAATCTTTGGAGTTGTTTTTACTAAATAACCAAAACCTGGAATTTCCATTATTTCTAGAGTCCTACCTAGATCATTCTTGGTTCCCAAGAAATCTACCTTTAAAAAATAGGTAAATTTTCAAATGACAAGTCTGGTACTCCTGGATTTGCTAATTTATCTACCCAACTAATCTAAATCCTACAAGGCACAGGTAGGCAAAGAAAAAAAAAAGGCCACAGAATACTCCCTGCCAAAAGCCCAATTTTAAGGAAATTGATAAATGGAGTATTTAAAGCTATAAAAAAATTAAGTTTTTTAAATAGAAAAGCAAGCAGAGCAACTGTGCTATAACCCCACCTGCTATACCTACTAAATTTTTTTCAACTTGAAGGCTATGATTTCCTAAGCAAAATTAGGGCTGCATGACTCAGTTTTACTGCTTGTATTAATTGCTGAAATATAAATGCCTTGCTTTTACTCTATGGTAAAGGCCGCATATTTTGCTAGTGCTTTTATTTACAAGTGGTTTTTCCGTTGGTTCTGCTTTCAATCACATCTCTAAGAAACATACAAACCTATTATCGCTCGCTTCTCAATTTCCACAACTGTAATTATTATTCCTTAAGAGCCTGACCTTGCCAATACAAGTTCAAAATACCTTCTCCGCCTTTGCCAATCTCAGGCATTTTACTACCCATATGTAATAATAGAACCCAAGGAAATGCTATAAAAGCTATTATGAGTCTCAGAGAATAAACTATTCTGAAAGGCCTTAAATTTTCACTGGAAAAGCAGGCCCACCCACAAGCAGGACATTTTCATTACATTAAAAGCTACAAATCAATCAAAATGCAATGAAAATTAGTAATGAGAAACACTCTAACATCTCACTTCACTTGCTGAAATGGCTTGTATGTCTCCCTGCCTATGAGCTGAGAATGTGGCCTGTGTTAACCAGAGGTTATTCTCCTTGTACTGTCTAAACCAAGGAGCTGGAAGACCCTCCCCCAGCCCTCACCAATCAAAAAATCTGAGGTGAAAATGGAACACTGCAAATTTTAGAAACAAAAATCTTAACTTTATTCCGTCACAAAGGGAGTAAGAAGCCGTTTGCCTTCCTTTCACAACACTCTAGAAATACTTCTTTCCCAGTGTTTTTCTCCTCTCATTTTTGTACAGCTCCACAAACAGGATTCTTTTGCATTCCTATAAACACTCCCTTTAGTTTATTTACCCTCTCTGGCCTACAGCAGGGTAGCTTTCATTGCAGCTAAGTAGTCAAAAAACAAAAACAAACAAACAAACTTTCAAGTTTAATAACTCTAAGTAGCAAGACTGATGATCCTGAAAAAATGGTGGGGGAAGTACATTATTCTTCTGTAATTGGGAGGTGCTAGTTCTATTCCTCAATCAACAGTATAGTGGCATTTAAAAAAAATAAACCCTATCCATTTTTCCTGAAGAGAATTTCTTTCTCAGATTGTATTTTATTTTAGCATTATGCAGCACCAAAGCACTTCCCTACTTCAGTCAACATTACTTCCAGTTCTACCTTTTGACTCAAGCAAGGTCAATCTAATTGTTGACAATACTTTGACCTACTTGATTTTGCTCACAGAGAATGACAAAGTGCCCCTAAACCTTAAAGGGATGCTGTTATGAACAAAATACAATAGTCTGGACCTGCTAAGTATGTGATTTCTTCCTAATGACTAGAGACTAGTGAACATGTGTCTTAAAAGTACCTTTATCCAATCCAGTTTTCCCATGAAAACTAAAGTTTCATTCCTCAGAAACTCCTGAGTTTAGCACTTAAGCCTTGTAAATTTTGTGTAGGTGTACACTTACTCAAAATCAAGTTAAAACCAAATTATCTATCTCTGAAAAGGTGTCTGTTTAGTTTAATTCACCAATTATTAAATCCTAAACATTTTCAGCCATAAAACTGGCGGAAGGGAAGGGGGAATCTACCAATCTGGAAGGGAAGGGGGAATCTACCAATCTATCAACAGTGTTTGAAGCGTTTAAGTCAATTTCCAAAACAGACCCTGGCAGTCTAAGCACGAAATGTTTAAATGCGATCACCTATCACTGTCCGAGTGTGGTTGCCAAACGAAGCAACATTTCACTATGGATTCTGACACCCAAGGTGTGAAATAAGGAATTCCAACACGCAAAGTTCCCCAGATTTCTGACATTCAGCTAGTAAAAAAAGTAAATAAATAAAAATAGCCCAATCTGACAAAATTCTAGGCAGTCAAATGTCAAGAACCAAGTTCAGCTGGACCCTTTGGACAGAATCTTCATTCTAGGTAGATGAAAACCAATGCCATTTCTTCAAATCAGAAGTAATACTACATTCCTAAAATCTGTTAAATCAATCAGGTACAAGTGCAATTAAGGTGATATAAACAATGCCTAAATTAAATAAGCTACTTTGTATTTTCCCTACTCAGTTTACCAAATACCAAATATCAAAATCCTGAATATGAATTAACCTTTCACTTTTCACATTTCCGTAACTGTACTGAAGCTATTTAAGGAAGCAAAGCCACATCAAGATCAGTTCAGAGCAAATCTCATTACCTGATATAAATCAATTACTCCGAAATAGGTTTCTAAAAACCCATAATGAAATCAGAATTTTCTGATACTTGTTATCAGCAGGTATCCTTTGTCTTTTATACACAAGGCTTAGAACATACACATAAATCAGCACCAGGATCTGCCACACCCTCCCAAGTGGGCAGCAAAAAGGACAAAGCTGACTGATTTAAAACACTAAGTTCCCACATAATTAAAACCTCAAACAAAAACAATTTGGTAAAATATTTTCTAATTTGTGGAGGCCACTTCATCTTTTCTTTCCTTCCATTGAGAAGTGAGCAACTGACTCCCAGGTACTCAGTACAGAAATAATCAATGGCATAAAAGCTAAACTGTCCAAATGGATAATCTCCTGACAAAACTCTGAGGAACATGGTCCTCAGAACTCACTCATTCCTGTCCCAGCTTAACCTGTGGAGTTAATCAACAGTTTACCCACACGAAAAGGTTCAGATTCTCATGCAAAAACTATTCACAACAGAAAGATTTTAGCACTAAGTGATGAGAAGTGTTAGTGAACCACTATTCACTAACCATGAACCACTAAACTATAATCACAGCATAAAGCTTACATTTATTGTAAATTTACTTTCCTTAACGGTTTTCATAAAAACATATTTAAGTTACAAGCTACGTAATCTTTTCTTAAAATAACAATCATCTTTACTAGGTGGCTACCAGTTACTTTGGCCCTTATTTTCAGTACAGAAGAGGCGAAAAATCTGCTTTACAATACTTCTGATTTTACAACTTCCCATAGGGCAGGATGATATAATTTATACCTAAAATAAAACTTTTACTTTAAAAGAACTCACGATGACCTCAGAGGGATCAATGGCTTAGATCAGGATTCAGCAAACATTTTCTGTAAAGAGCCATGTTTTAAGCTTGGTGGGCTACATACATCTTTGTAAGTTTTACTTTTAACCCTTTAGAAATCTAGAAGCCATTCTTCATTCTTCGCTCACGGTCTGTACAAAAACAAGCCACAAGCTGCTGACCCCTGGCTTTGATATAGCACCTACTTAAATGACATTCATTTCCACTCTATTACTTTCTCCTGTGGGAACAATCTTGATGGATTTAATAATATACCTTCATATCTGAATTTACTTTCTGAAAATTAAGCTCCTAAACCCTTAAACTACAATCCTCCTTTCACTGTTCTTTTAGTGAATCCCTTCCTCAGCCTGAAGGTTATTTCAATCACTTCTCATATAAACTTCCCACTTTTCTACCTTTAAAATTCTCAACCGGAGAGAACATGTCCAAGGTTAAACCCAGGCTGAGCAAAAAGCAATTGAACCCAAACTCCTGAAAGCTGACAATTAACTCTATACCTCAATAAAACCTGACAATTTTGCAAATGATATCGTCAGCTCACTAAGTCTGAGGTCTGATGAGAAATCATTTTACTGCCTTGTCACTAGATACACGCCACAAAGCATAATGGTGATCAAGTTCTGGGCCTTCTAAAGGTAAATTGGAGATCTGACTTTAAAGGTTCAGACTTCACAAATACTAATTTACATATTAATGTCAGCAGAACACAAATACCTTACAAATATCTGGGTTGAAGTCTACCTTCTAAGCATCTATTTACTTTCTTTAAATAGTAGAGTTACATGCACCTGAGGGCCTGAGAATAGTTATACCAGTTACTTAAATAAATACTGGGATAAATGTCCAGGTTCTAGCAG